CCTTCCTTCCTTCCTTCCTTCCTTCCTTCCTTCCTTCCTTCCTTCCTTCCTTCTTTCCTTCCTTACCATTTTTAATATTGTGTTTTGACATTTTTTTCATTTAAATATAAAGTGTTCATATTTATTATTTTCATTATGTGCATGTGTATATATGCACTAGTGCAGTTGCCCATGGAAGCCAGAGGCATCAGATCCTCAGAACTGCAGTGGTTTGTTAGCTTTTTCATGTGAGTGCTGGAGACCAAGCTCAGGACTTCTGCAAGAACAGCAAGTGCTCTTAATTGCTGAGCCTCCTCTCCAGCCTCATATTTACTATTTTTAACTGTTTAATAGCCTAGAAGCTTATGAGGTAGGTGGTTAAGTCTTAGAGAGAGCTCTTGTTGCATTCTAAGGAATAAGCAGAATATTTAAAAGCATGTTCTCTTAATGCTTGTTTTTTATGCAAACTCTTAAGGACACCCAAGCCATTTCTCTCTCCCTACTGCCTGTGGTAGCATAGTTCTGCAGGTTGGCTAAGGTAGTTGCTAGCTGTTCTTTAGAGTCAAGGCAGAGAGATGCAAATGGAGGTGGTGCTATTGTTTCAAGAGTGTTTTTGTGCTGGAATATGAACTATAACCACTAGTTCACATGAAATAGGCCTCAGAATAAAAGTATTCCGGGAATTTCAGAAATTAGAGAAGATAAAGGGCCTATTAGATCATTAAGTGTATCTTTAGCAGCTAGTGCAGAGTGCCTTGAGCCTACATAATTTCTAAAATTTGGTAGAATCTATTTCACTTAAATTTCTACTGTTTTGGTTGTCAATTCTATAATCTAATAAATAGGCATTAAAATTGGTTGTTATTATTGTTGTTGTTGTTGTTCTTTTGTTAGAGCCCCTCCCCTATCCCCACATTAACTCTTGTGACTTAGTGAAAAGGCTTTGGAAGAGAGCCAGATGATAGTTTTCCTGAATCTGCTGAGCGCCCTAGGAAAGGCACTTTATCTTTGAGACTTTGCCCTCCCCACCAAACCCGCTTGCTTGCTGCCATGCCTGCCTGCTGCTTTCTTTGTTTTTTTCCTTTTTCTTTTCTTTTTCTTCCTTACCCCCCTTTTTTTTCATTTTTCTTTTTTTTTTTTTTTTTTTGAGACTGGAGTCACTGTCTAAAATAGCCTGGAGTTTGCTTTATACCTCAGGTGAGCCTTGAACTCATATAGAGAGGAGTACAGTAGTTGGTGCATTGTATACATATATGATAGTCACAATTTTTAAAATATTTAATTCAATTAAATAGAAAGCAAAACATTAAAAAATTTATTGCCGAATGAGAACAGCAGTAAGGTTTTGGGTTTTGTTGAGCACTGATGCTGGAGGGCAGTGCTGGTTCACAGGTGAAGCATCAAAGCTTTCAAAGTGTCTGTCAAACTTTGAGTTTGTTGAAAAATTTGAAGGCCAGGCGTTGTAGTCAGCAACTTACCACAGCATCTGGGGAGGTTTCAAGTGACATCCCTGAAAGAAGGGAGAGTTCTCAAGTGGGTAGGTGTTGACTCTGGTTTCCCATATCCAGGAGTCTGATGAGACTTAGTGTTCTCTGGCCTTGATCTCAGGACTTGGGACATGAAGGCAGAATCAGTGTGTTTAAGGCCAGCCTGAACTGTGTACAAGACTGTCTCAGAAATGCTGAAGCAGAACAGAGTACTTTAGGCAATGGGCATCAGCTCTGCTGTGTCTTACAGACGTGTTTGTCACTTATGGCAGTGTCTGAAACCAAGTCAAAGCTGCATAACAGATTTTCTCCAAACCACACAAAATGGAGGTCAGTCAATGCTAGTTAAAAAAAAATACTGAAATGTGGTTGACACATTGGAATGTAATTATTTTTTTCACAAAATCCTTTATTATGAGAAGGGCATTTATACCATGGTTTCTAATCATAGACTGTTCTTAGGTTTTAGTCAATTTACCAAATAATTTGAATTATAAATCATTTTACCCTACTATGAAGCTCAGTTCTCTATAAAACATTTCTTACTTACTCTTACATGTCATTTTCTTATTTTAAAGTGATCACGCTTTTGGTGGTAGGGAGGGATGTATTTTATATACATAGTAAGATAGACTTAGAATGTTTTGAATCATCCTACAGTGGCCACCTATGTAAGTCAAAAATGAGTTCTGCCTAGTCATTCTGGACAAAAAGATAAAAACAGCAGAAATAATCTGGAAGAAAATTTTGTTTACCAAGAAAACCTTAACTATTGATGCTTTAAAATTCGTGCCATTTTTGCCTCTGTGATTTCAATGTTAAGTAATCATCTTTTAATGCTTAGCTAGACTTTTCTGTTGTCCATCTATAGAATATCACTTATAAATGTATGTCCTGAGCCTTGTGGCTTATCTAGAAAGGTTTTAGATATTATTCCAAAATACAGTTAATATCTCAAGGTGTTCTGTGGTCTTACAGCTTCAATTTAGGAATTGAACCATAAATCCTGAACTGAATTATTCTTTTCTATTTTAATTTTTGTCTCTGTTATTTGAGTGTTAAAATTCTCACATTATTTTCAATTACTGTTAACTGGAGCCTACATTCAAATTAGTAATTAAAAGCAAAAACTTTCCCTTATCCTATGAGTGATCCCTGTGCACTAGATCACTAAATTACTAGTTAGGCCCTTCATGTTATCTTCTTTTGTTGTAAAAGGATTGCTGGCATTATGGTGTTAGATGACCATTATGTCATCTGCTGCTGTACTTTTATGATGCCATGCTTACACTAGGTAAATTATGAGAGGTACAAATGGAAACCAGCATAATATATCTTGCCATGTGTATTGATGCACATTGAGAGCTTCTAATCATTTGTGTTTGTGTGTGAGCATATGTGTGTGTGTGCGTGTGTGTGTGTGTCTGTGTGTGTGTCTGTGTTTTATTGGTGAAATACCATGTCTTCTGTGTCATGTACATGATGTGGTCCTGCTCTGGATGCCCTTGTCTTTCTCCTAAGTTGCCATTTGGTCCTGGCAACTATGACCTCTCTCTTAGCCCTCTTGGCAGAAGAGGCTGCTCTTAGTACAAATTATAGTAAGAACGTGTATTTAGAAATGATTAGGCACCAGGCAGTGGTGGTGCACGCCTTTAATCCCAGCACTTGGGAAGCAGAGGCAGACGAATTTCTGAGTTCGAGGCCAGCCTGGTCTACAGAGTGAATTCCAGGACTGCCAAGGCTACACAGAGAAACCCTGTCTTGAAAAAAACAAAACAAAACAAAAGAAATGATTAAGTGTTCTGGACAATCAAAGTATTAGGTGGGCCCTGTTTCCCCCTTTATGAGTTTAGAATAAAAGTGGTTTCTAATTGTTGAATTATCTAAACGGTGTAAAGTATTTCAGATGCTGTGTAATTTTACACTAATAGACAGTATTGTGTCATATAGAGAGAGGCTTGAAGAATGACACATGACTTACTGTCTGCTCTGACTGAACAAGGCTGAAAAATGTGGTTAACTTTCCTGCACATAGATAAATAGTCCTTAAAGTTTGTGAAGTGTCTTGATTGGATGAGAACTGAAGATACCAAAACAGGCTTTTTATTTATTTTCAAGGGAAAGTAATTATGAAGATGAAAAATAATTAGGAGGAGTAACTGGAATTTTCCAAGCCAGTACATTATTTTGTTTGGCAATTGCTTTAAACAACAACAACAAAAAAATATGAAGGCAGAGAGTACTTGAATTAATTTGATTTTAGGACAGGTCTCACTAAGTTACAAGATGACCTTGAACTCAGTCTGTCGGCCAGATGCTCTGTCAAAGTTGTTTGTCCCATCAGGCTGGCTTTAGACTTTTTTTTTTTTTTTTTAGGTTTTTCGAGACAGGGTTTCTCTGTGTAGTTCTGGCTGTCCTGGAACTCACTCTGTAGACCTGGCTGGCCTCGAACTCAGAAATTTGTCTGCCTCTGTCTCCCAAGTGCTGAGATTAAAGGCATGCGCCACCACTGCCCGGCTAGAAGATATTCTAAGCCTAAACTTCCTTAACAGTTTATAATAAAACATTACAATAAAACAAAGTAAAATCATGTCTACCACAGAATTGCTGTGAGGGCTAGATAAGGTTATATCATATGAAGTTCTCATCCAGTTTCTGAGTAAAAGTGACTGCTCAATTGGGTTTCCAATTGAGGGATGCAGGGGGATGAAGAAATAGTATAAGCTCTCCAGCAGGGATGGGAGACTGGCCTAGAGCACATTTAAAGGATAAGGAAATCTCTTGACCTCTGTTTCTCCTAGCAGTCGCTTATTGCAAGGCTGCTCCATATCACTTATCATATCTGTCTCTAGAAAATACAAATTAAAACAAAATGATTATCACTTTCAAACATCCTGAATTAAAAAAAAACAGATTTTAGAAGCTAGAGAGCTGGCTCAGCAGTTAAGAGCACTTGCTGTGTTTGCAAAAGACCCAGGTTAGGTCCTTAACCCTTACATGGCATCTTACAAAACTGTAACTTCAGTTCCAGGACATCCAGTGCCTTCTTATAGAACTGCGTGCATGTGGTGCCCATATGTACATGCAGATTAACACTCAGACATACAGAATAATAAAGACAAACACATAATCGTTTTAAAAGTCAACTTTTAATAAAAGTAATTCAAGGAAAGAATGTTTTTATGATGCAGCTAATGCAGTGTTCTCAGCCTTCCTAATGCGATAATGCAGCTCCTCATGCTGTGCTGACCCCAACCATAACATTATTTTTGTTGCTGCTTCATAACTGTAAATTTGCTGCTGTTATGAGTTATAATGTAAATATCTATGTTTTCTGATGATCTTAGGCAACTCCTGTAAGAGGGTTATTTGACCTCCAAAGGGGGTCACAATTCACTGGTTGAGAACTACTTGGCTAATGTCTCAAACAAAATACTAATTAATTTTCTCTCTAAGAAAAGATTTTCTGGTGTGCTAGTTAAGGTAGAAACATGTAGAACCAGTTTTCTGAGGCACGAATAGCTCCAGTTAGCTGTCCACACATGATGGATCCATTTAGAGAGCATGCAGCGTATGAGAGTGCTAAGAATACGACTCAGTGCTTGATGTCTCGTATGTACCGTTCTCAGTCTCCACCCTGTACATTATCACATAGTCTGGGCCTGATGCACTCATGTACTTTACCCGATGAATTGGTATTTTTTGCATAATTAACATTTTGCTTCCAAATTTTTGCTGATTACCAAAACAATAACAAATTTCATTATATTATAAGTTGGGTTTTATGTTATAACTAATGCTCTTCTACTAAACTCAGGATTTGTAGCAATCTATTTCATAAAAACAAAAAAAAATCTATCAGGACTTGTCTTTTTTTAATTTTTGTTGTATATCTCTGTGTGTGTGTGTCTGTGTATTGCTAAAATGAATATGAATGCATGTGGATGACAGAAGTGTACATAGTGTGTATTTGCCAAGTGCTCTCTGCTTCATTTTTGGAGACAGGCTCTCACTGAACCCACTGATGCTGAGCTTCACTGCTTAGCTTGCCTGGCTGGTCAGCACGGCCTCAAGGTCTTCTTTTCTCTACATCTCCAGTGCTAGAATGCCTAGCATATGCGGCTGTTCCTTGCCTTTGCATTGATACAAAAGGTTGAACCTAGGCACCCCTGCTTACATAACAAGCTTGTCAATTGACTGAGCCATCTCCCTATTCCTTATGATTTCATATTCAGTAGCTCGTGTGGAGTTCAAGCCTCTTCTGTTGAGGATTCTTGATGATAAAATTATTTTTTTAGTTGACAATAAAAGCTCTTTATTTTTATCCTCCTTCTTTTCCCTCCAGTTTGCTGGAAACCATGTCTCACTATACAGATGAACCCAGATTTACCATAGAACAGATAGATCTGCTCCAACGTCTTCGGCGTACCGGAATGACCAAACATGAAATTCTTCATGCATTAGAAACTTTGGACCGTCTTGATCAAGAGCATAGTGATAAGTTTGGAAGGAGGTCCAGCTACGGGGGAAGCTCGTATGGGAACAGTACCAACAATGTTCCAGCATCTTCCTCTACAGCCACAGCTTCCACGCAGACTCAGCACTCGGGAATGTCCCCATCACCCAGCAACAGTTACGATACCTCCCCACTGCCTTGCACTACCAATCAAAATGGGAGGGAGAACAATGATCGATTGTCCACATCCAATGGGAAGATGTCACCTTCTCGCTACCATGTAAACAGCATGGGTCAGAGGTCATATAGCTTTGAAGCCTCAGAAGAGGACCTAGATGTAGATGATAAAGTGGAGGAATTAATGAGGTTAGTATGTTGCCTATTGAGAATTCCCTAAAACGTCTCTATTTTCTAAGGCTGTTTTTAATTAGGCTGGATTCCAGCAGCTTACCTATAAGAACAATGGCTTCTCCCTCCCTTCTTTGCAAATGAAAGTGAAACTTCAAATTGTGGTTTTAGTTCCGATTTTTTATTTCTTCTCTGCTTCAGCCCTTTTGCTGTGTGATGAAGCTTTTCTAGTCTCTTGATTTGTCCAAGGGCTTTCTCTATTTATGGCTTTAGCAGACAGTTCCTGACAGAAGTTTATTTAATCCAATCCAGTCCTCAATCTTTCATTGTAAATACTTTTTCTTAGTGGAAGATAAATGTACCATAATGCAGAATACAGGCACTCTTCATTTTTTTCTTGCAGCATTTCAATCAGTGCAACAGTTTGAGCAGCTATTGGGTGAGAAGTAATTTTCAGTAGGTAACATAGATACATGCTGCCCTGTCCCTAAGAGCTGCAGTTGTGATTTTAGCTGTCGGTGCAGTGGCCACATGCACTTCATATGTCATCATTACCAAGGAAGCGTGCTCACCTAGAGTGTAAGCTCAAAGGAATGAAGGCCGCTTTCAACCAAGGCCGTAAGGACTTTGTGCAGACCTGCTTCCCTTTGAGGGTAATAGACACTGTGTATCTAGACATCCTGTGTCTAGAACTAGAAAGTCTCCTTAGCACATGGTGGAGGCTCAGCATATTAGCTAAGTAGATAAATTTGGCCTAAGCCATAAGGGTATTCTGTTTTGAATAAGGATTTGGAGCTGGTGAGATGGTTTAATGGATAGAGATCCTTGCTGCCAAGTCAGAGGACCTGAGTTCCACCCCTGCAGCCAACAAAGTGGAAGGGAAGAACCAGTTCCCAAAAAGTTGTCCTCTGACTACAACATGGCACACATACACATGTATACATATAGTCAATAAATTAGTTAATTTTTTGAAATAAAGATTAAAATATACATATGTTGATTTTAGTTAGGGAAACAGGAAAAGATAACAAAAAAGGTGTGTCTTTACTCTGATTAAGAATATAAGCTGGGTATGGTCACATGCCTGTAACTCCCAACGCTTTAGACCTGAAGCAGGAAGATTGATGTGAGTTCAAGGCTAACATGGTAACTTACAGAGTGTGAACCTTTCCAGACAGCATTAAAAGGAAAACAATAAAGATAAGGCAGACTGACAAACACAGTAACACCTTAGGATGCCACACCCATTCTCACAGCCTCACAGTCTGTACTAAATGGTTGGAATTAGGAAGTTTTTCTAGATCTTTACAAACAGAAATACAAAAACATTGTTTTCAATAGAGTTATGCTGTTGGATAAAAATGAAGCCTTGGGCTGGAGAGATGGACTTACTGGTTAAGGATACTTGTTTTTGTAGAGGATCTGAGTTTGATTTTTCAGCACTCACATGGTAGTTCACAATCAACCATAACTCTCGTTTTAGGGAATCCAAAGCCCTCTTCTGATGTCTGTAAGCACCAAGCATGCATATTGTACATACACATATGTTTTAGCAAAATGCTCATGTACATAAAATAATCTTAAATTAAAAAAAAAAGATAAGAGCCTGCAGATGAATTAGTTACAGTTAATAGTGAATAGACTTGTCGACTTACAAGGAATAAAAACAAAAGTTCCAACTGAGTTATAACTGGTCCTGAAGATTTTCTTTCATCAAGACAGAATGATGGGGGCTTTGACACTACTGTATGAAGATCCATCCGGTAGCACCTCTGCCATGAGACAGCCTTAAACACATGGGCTCTTCTGAGTTTGTTCTCAGGAAGAGTTACTACATATGGAACTCTGGCCTCAGGGACCATGGGGTACTGAGGAGCATCACACTTCAGCTGTAGTCAGTGTTCGCCAGCTTTTAACTCTCTGCAGTTCAAGAGACTGATGCGGTTTGGTTCATCCTCAGCTGTAAACACTGGTCCCAAGATGCTGCTGTTGCTGGTGACTTTCTTTTTTTTCTTTTTTTTTTTGTCCCCCCACCCCCACCCCGCTGGTGACTTTCTTAGTGCTGTAGATTGAACTCAGAGCTTTATCTTCCACTGAGTCACATCCTTAGCTGTAGCTGGTGTTTAGAACTTAGTATATATCATTTTCCAGTTTAAAAAGGAGAACCATTTGGACAAATGAGTCACTTTTCATTGAAATTTCATGAGTTTTTAATTATCCTGAATAGAGAAGATAGCAAAACAGCATTTATTTGTTCAGGTGCTGGCTTGTGTTATTTGTGCACATTCCCTTGGACACAGGCTCACAGGTATAGTGTGTGTTTCAGTTGTGTGCTCTTAATCATTGTGTGGTTACTAGGACACTTTCTTATTCCCTTTCTCTGCTTCTTGCTCAGAACAGCTCTTGTGGCGACATTTAGTCAGCTAGGACCTCTAGACCTCTGGTCCCCCTGATCCATCACAGTTGGGCTTTCTCCCACTCCAGCTTTGCTCAGGTGTGCCCCTCCTCACATTTGTCAAGTTTGCAGAGGATATTCCTTCTTAGGGCACAGAGAGGAGTTGCTCACATGACATTTGCAGTCTCTACAGCCATGCTAGGTGGTTGATCAGAGAAACTGAGGTTCATGAAAATTAGTAATTTGCTCAAATAAGTTTGATTATTGGGCAGCTGAACCTAAATTATATCCCATGTCTTGGTTTTCATTGTGTTGATGTTATATTTTACCACTGAAATTACTTGAGCTTATAGAGTTAATAAAGTTTTAGGAACAATAATGTCATTCTTCAAGAGAATGCGAATGGCCTTCCTTACTGGGCTTGCCATTCTCCTTCCTCAGCATACCTGCTGCTTCAAGTCAGTCACTTAACAAGCAGTTTTCAAACAGTAGCTCTTTCTGAGTATTCTGTGATATGCTGTCCTTGCTGCTTACTCAACACTGGTGACATGACACTGGCTGGAATTGGTGGGCTCTGGTAGGAAGCATGGATACCCGAGTACCTTCTTGCCTCATTTGCTGTGTAAAATCTACCTCTGACCACTAGTCCCAGCTTGCAAGCACTCCACTGTAAGACATGCTTTACAGATTTTGTAATCCAGGCAGACTGTGTTATAATATATAATTTGAAGGTATGTAATGGTGTGTGTGTGTGTGTGAGTGTGCTTGCGTGCAACTACATCAGTTAGAACTGTACTATTGATCATTTGTTAGAATCAGAAATTATCTTTTCTAGTTTGAATTGTGATCAAAAAGGAGGAAGAAGAAAGCCACACTAGCATATAAATTTTCAGTAAATGGTTGAATGTGCCACTTTAGGAAGGACTGAAAGCTAACAATGAAGACTCACTGTATATTAGGGCATTTTAAAAGGCCTATTAGTATGTAAGTGTATTCATAGGAATGTGTGTCTGCATCTGCAGATACAGTAGGATATATCAGTGTTTTCCTGTGGTCATTTATGTAATATGAGATAATGTAAATGAGGCTTATTGGAATTAGAAATGCTGTACATTAAAATAAGGTCTAGCATCCTTGAGCCGTTGTATTTTAAAATTCAAAACTTGTGAGTACTGCTGTGTCACAAGTGAAAAATTCCATAGTACCACACATTCCTAGGCTAGAGTTATTTAAAATTCTGTCCCAAGTTGCATCTAGTCTCATTGAGTAAGTTATGTAAAACATAATCAAAATTTGTGTTTCAATTGAGTTCTGTCCCTAAGATATTTTATTGTAACTATGAAAACAGCCCCAAATTTTAAAAGGAAAATCAGAAAAGGCTTGATGTCCCTCAGGTGGAGCTCATGGCCTGTGTATACTTGTGCAGGCAGGATGTTTATGCTCCATAAGAAGGTAACACCACTGCATGGTGGTGCTCTCCCTTCATATTCTGCATATAGAACAGCTCTCCCTTTAATGTTCTCTCTTAAAATTGTACACAGGGAGAAAGTTGTAAATGTCTTTCAAATGTGAAATATATTATTTCGGCTTCATCTTGGGGTGACTTTGAGCTAGCTCCTTTACATCCAGAATGCTAAGGGTGTGTTAACTTAGGGAGTATGAGTCATGTTAAAGCAAATCATTTTAAAATATGAGCCCTTTAATTTGCTTTCTTCCCAGAAAACAAATCAGTGTCATTTTAAATCACCACAAATAACCTTTCCGTCCTGATTTGGAAAACATAAACATACTTGAAAATAAGAATTTAAAGATGTTATATAAATTATCTAGATCAGGTTTTCTATTTTATAGCCTTTAATCTCTAAAAAATTTTCACTCATTAACCAAATTACATTTTATGAAAACTTCATACTGAATATGACAGTCACTGTGCTAAAGGACTTTCCAGGCTGGTAGGATAGATGACATGCTTAGGACCATGAACTTGATTGAGCTTTGTGTCCTTAGTACAATTGGTGTGTTAAGAGTTAGCCTACAAATGAGATCTTGCTTGGTAAACTGAGATGATCAGGGAGAATGGCTATCAATAGAAGGTAGTTACATTGTGTCTTTTTAAAAAAGTAGTCAGGAAGCCAGATGTGGTTGTACCCTTCTGGAATCCAAGTACTGGGGAGGAAGAGGCAGGAGGGTCGCTGTGGGTTCAAGACCACTATTGTCTACATAGCAAGGCCCTGCTTCAAAGCAAAACAAAGGCAGAGAGCAGGGTAGTGATGCCACTTAGATCCTAGGACTCTGGAGGCTGAGAAAAGAAGATCTCTAGTTCAAAGTCATGCTGGGTTAAAGGCAAGACCCCTGTCTCATAATCCTATTCTCACGTATGTACATACATGTGTATATACATACATACATACATTCATACATAAAAACATACAAATATTAAAAGTGATTTGTTGGAGGCTGGAGAGATGGCTCAGGAGTTAAGAACACTGGCTGTTCCTCTAGATATCAGTTCAATTCCCAGCACCCACTTGGGAGTTCACAACTGTCTGCAACCCCAGTTCCAGAGAATCTATCTCTCCGGGTATACATGTGGTGTACATATCTGTGCATGCAGGCAAAACACCCATACAGGTAAAACAGGTAAAATAAAATAAATCTTTTTTTTTGTTGTTGTTGTTTTTTGTTTTTCGAGACAGGGTTTCTCTGTATAGCCCTGGCTGTCCTAGAACTCACTCTGTAGACCAGGCTGGCCTCAAACTCAGAAATCTTCCTGCCTCTTCCTCTCAAGTGCTGGGATTAAAGGCGTGCACCACCACTACCCGGCATAAATCTTTTTTTTTTTTTAAGTGATTTGTCAAAAAGCCATTCCTGATGAATTCTTCTGTATTTATTAGGAAGGATAATAGTGGAGAGTTTAACTAGTTTTAAAAACAAAGACAGTGGCCTTGGCAGTGATGGTTAGCACTCCATCTGCTGTAGCAGTTCATCAGATAAGCACAGTGGCAGCAATCTGAAAGCAGGAGCCTTGGGAGAAGTGGTATGCACTAAAACTGACTATCTGTGGTCAAGTGGTTGCTTGTGCTAATTCACTAAGACTTCAGCAGACTTGAGGCACGTGAGATATTTGTGGGGAGTAGAAGAAGATACTCATTCTCTTTAGGCAAAAATTTCAAGTTTTCATCAAAGGGAAGAAATATGGACTAGAAGAGGAGAGAGTCATATTTGTCTAAGCTATGTTTTATACATCAAATGGGTGATTCCACAGCTGGAATGGCAGTTAAGGAGAAGGCGAAGAAGACAAACAGCCAAGTTGCCTAATAGGATGGAGCTGGACAATGAAGGGGAATACTGTTACTTTTTTTTTTTTTTTTTTTTTGCAAAAGCAAATGGTCAGTCTTGTAAAGTGACTGACTTTCGAGAGCATTTTGTCCATTCGTAGTGCTTTGAATGTATGTCTTACAGTTATAGTTGGCTGTGTGTTCCTTCTTTGTTTTGGATCCTATATGACTAGTTTATAGAAATAATAATTTGTATTTATATGACATATTTACAGTTTCAAATTACATCATTTAGTTTTTATTCCATTGTTTGGAGGAACATTTTAAAGGCCTCTATGGTCAGTGCTAGAGATAGAGCCTAGGGCCTTTTGCATACTAGGGAAGCATACTGCCACTGAGCTATATCCATAACTCTAGGGGACCAGCAGGAATGGAGAGGAGGAGATGGAGGGATCAACAGGAGTAGAGAAGAGGAGAGAGGGGATGAGTGGGAGTGGGGGGGGTAAGGGATGAGGGGGTCATGACAGCCAAATGAATGAATGAATCAGAGTGCATCATACACATGTGTGAACGGAGAGTGTTAATGTTCTTGTTTTACCAGCGTAGATGGGCTGGAGGTTGAGACCAGGAGTTTATGATGCTGTCTAGGCATCATTTAGTCCTTTAGCTATACCCTATTCTTTTTTTATTTAATTGCTTTTCAAATAGTGTCTATGGTAAAGCAGTAAAGAATGTATGTGCATACACACACATGTGTGAATTTTTAAACTGGTTGTGGACATTTCAAAGACCTGTATAAGAATGTATTCTCTGAGGTGGTGAACAGGTTGCTGCTTTCTAAACACTGGAGACTCTTCCTGTCTTGTTGCAGTCCTTTAATAATGTCATACTGCAAGGCAGTGATAATTCACTAACTGGGTACATAGTTGAGTGTTATCTATTCTGTATGATTTAGTGTCTGCTCTAGGTGCATTTGATTTAAAATAAGTTGATTTAATATTGATTTTAAATAATTAGTCAAGAAAATGATTTGCTCATTTTTGCCTACAAAAGTACATTTTTAAAATTTAATCTGAACAGTTATTCTCAAGAATAGTTTCATTTTTCAAGATCATTGGGGACGTTGAAATGCAATACTTTAAATAAAAATTTTCAACTTAATTTTATAGGTACCTCAGAAAGCAGATGATTTAGTTTGTGAACAAAAGCCATCTGAAATAGATACTGCTAAAGTTGTCTCTTGTTCATAATTGGTAGATACAGATGTTTTCATAATGACGTAATCAATATATAGATAGAAATCTAAATCAGTATGAAACATTTAAAATACTACATTAAGAGCTAATTTTTAATTTTCTTTTGAAACCTTTTGGTTAGTATTTTCAACCAATAACTCGGGATCTATTGTAGGGCTATGTATTGGATACTCACTGGCCTATCTCAATTCTTTTCCCAAATTCCCACAGCAGGAACATGGCCATAGGGATTGTACTGTGCCTGCTGCACAAGAGTGAGGAACAAAGTTCACATCTTCAGCTCCCACATAGAAGTCAGGCAGTCGGTGACATGTGTGTCTAGCCCTGAGGGGTCCCTGCAGCTCCTTGGCCAGCCAGTCTAGCAAACTGGTGAGCTCTGGGTTCAGAGACAAACACAGACATACACACTACATACACAGATAAAGCTCACCACAGGAAACACGGCATCCCTCACCAGAGTGTCTGACCTTTCCTAGTGAAGGGGCTGAAAGACCTGGTCTAAATTAAATCACAAGTTATTATTATATTTTGCTAGGATACTTTTTCTGTTCCAATCTACAGCAAAACATGAACCCCCCGTGAAGTCTGTGGTTCATCCACAAAACAATTTTTAAAGGGTTTTGATTAACTTTGTCTCCGATAAAGGGTGAGCAGGGTTTTACTGTGAGTAGCTAGTAGTTAACAATTAGACTTTGCTGAGAGGTAAAATTGAGGGCATAATATAGATAATCTATACAAGAGGGTTTCCCGGGCATGGCAGCACACAGCTATAGTCCCAGCACTCGGGAAGCTGAGACTACAGTAAATTCAAGGCCAGCATAGACTCATAGACTGTGTCTCAGAAAAATGAAAAAGAGAAAAATGGCCGTGGTTTATCTTGACAATATCCAACATGCAACTTTTACTCTCAGTACTCAAGAGGCTGAGATAGAAGGGCACCTTGAGTTTGAGCCCCACCTGGGCTCAGTAGTTGCAGGCCAGCCTAGCCTACAAGAGTGAGCCCCTATCTCAAAAATGAAAATAAAATCAATATGGAATTGTAGTAATTGTATATCATTTCGGGGGTTATATATAGTATTTGTAAAAGTACAAGGAAGGATGATGTTTTGATCAATTTGTTTGCAGAGGTGCATTAGCGAAAGATTATTGGTTCATGCTTTATAGAGAGCAGATGGCAGGTTGACTTGAGCTAGGGCCTTTAATCTGTTGAACTTGTCTAGACAATTAGCTACCGCAATTCTATGTCAGTTTTCATCTTGAACAAGAATAGTGTTCTTTAAGGACTCTAGCTTAATTTTTATTTAAGTATTTTTGTTTTGGTGAAAGAATGAGTTGTGTGCTTTGTCATTCTTATGGATGTCTGGTCTGTGAATAGTGCTGACTATTTAAATAAGTAATAGGCTGAGAATATATATTACCAAGATTGAATACTATAGTTTTTAGTGTTAACTATTCTGTGTATTTATTATATATAATGGAAAATTAATAAATACTTTTAATAGGAAACTAATATTTTAAACCATTTCACATTCTTTTCATTTTTTCTTATACAGAAGAGAGGGAGAGGAAGCAGCTAATTGTAATAAACATATTACAGTGCTAATAATTTCACTCATGAGAATGGTGTTGATTTTTGCCCTGGAGGCATTTCCAAGGTTTTCAGATGGGTGTCAGTTCTACAGTACCTTCCTTAACCTGCAGATCCACAGTCTACATGCAGCTGATTTTTCACTGCCTTTGCTTTTCATTTTTCCAGGGCTTCTATGTTTTCATTCCCTATAATGAGGCTGTACATACTGCACATGGCAGCCTTGCTCCTAATTTGAATTATTCACAGCATGCAGTTGCCGGTCCTCTCACATGAGACTTGTATCCACAGTGGCATTCACTGAGGTGTCTGTCTGATGGTGTGATGTTTCAGGACTGGAGTATTTGGTGTTTCTTGGTTTGTTGTAATTTCATATTTTCACCCAAGTTTAGTCTGTTTCCCTTTATTTTTGTGTCCTCCCTCTCTGTGTGCTCCTCACCTCTCTGCTTCACCTTTCTTTTAGCAAAGATGAGGATTTCTACCTTCAACATACATTGTTGGTCTTGTCTTCTGTTTTTGTTAGGAGGGACAGCAGTGTGATAAAAGAGGAAATCAAAGCCTTTCTTGCCAATCGGAGGATTTCCCAAGCAGTTGTTGCACAGGTAACAGGTAAGAGCCGCAGAGCCCTTTATTCTAGAATCACATCTCGTCTCAGCCGTCTGTGCAGATGCTGGAATATCGCTTACGTTTCCGTGCCGCAGCCCTGTCAGCTTGGGCATGGTGACAGAAGCCTGGGGTTTAAACCAAGGCCTCTGGTATCAGGGACATGCTCCAGTGAGCTTTTAAAAATCTTATGTTAGTAAATTTTGTAACATTAGTAATAACTAATAATAATAATAATAATAATAAGAATCCCTATTTTGTAGTTGAAAGGGAGATGTCATTTCCTTTTGATTATGGTAGAGCCTATGACACATCATCAGCTGGTGTCTGTTTAATATTTTTAAAAGCTTTGTAGTTCTCTAAATTAAATTTAATAAAAAGTGGCTCATGAGGAAAAAGCAAGTTGGGAGGGTTTTTCCTTTTTAGTTTTGGGGGTTTGTCATCATTAGGGCTTTATTGTTGTTTGTTGTTTTTTTGTTTTGGTTTGGTTTTTTTCTTGGGACAGGGTTGCATGAAGTCCACGCTAGCCTCAAACTCACTCCATGGCTGAGGATGACCCTGAACTCCTGATCCTTTTGCAGCCACCTCCCCAGTGATGGGATATGTGCACCACCATTGCCTACTCAAAGTTGTCTTTTGCGTGACCATTTCTGTATGTGAAACCTTCCTTATGCCCCTCCTGAGAAGAGAAGAGTCACCAGTGTCTTCTCTTTGTTCTGTATACCCATCCCATTCTCCACCCAGCCCAGACTTCACCCACATGTGGTGTGTATGTGTCATTCTCTACCCAGATCACATCTTAAAAAATGGAAGCCCTGAGTGAGTGCAGGTGTGTCACCACCGTGGCGTGCTCTTAGAGGAATCACAAGTTCCTTCCAGTACATTTCCACTTGCTGTGTTGTTACAAAGTCTGTGATGATGGTTACAGTAATTGCCGCCGCCACCCCTTTTAGCATGCTGCAATTTTTTACCTTTGGGTGTTTCAACCCCCGCCTCAGTTTTTATACTTTTGTGGTTACATGCCTGTATCTGAGCCGCAGTAGCTCTTCCAGCTCTGCTGTTCCTTCAGTGGTCTCAACATTGGTACTTAACTGAAGCGAATGTTAAGAGGGTACTCCTTATCAATATGATGAAAATTTTAACTTCAAAGCTAAAGGTATTAAATTTTATCCCTATACCTAATGTCAGCCAATCCTTTATGATACATATATTTACATACATGTGTATATATATTTTACTAGTAACTCATTTTTATTAATGATGTCTTTGTTACATATCTTTTAAACATGTCCTTTAATGTAGAATTCTTACTGGTAAGGAAAGCTGTGAATTTAATTATTTAAGTCTTTATGTATTTGCCAGTAGGATGGATGAGATAAATTATCTTTAATAAACTAAGTTACATGTGTAACACACTATGAGAGTAAATATTGCAGGCTTTACTGAAACTCACGGTGTGGTAGATTATGCCATGATGGGATGTTGTCCGTTGCATCTTTGCTTTAGCCTCTAAGAATACAAGCAATATATGTTCTGATTTGCAAAATTGAGAGGGAAAGCCAGACAGATTTGTGACATGATAGAACAGAATTGCAAAGCTGATTTTGTTCAGAAGAGATTATTTCGGAGTGCTGAATATACTGAACCTTGAATCATCTTATACTTAAATTTGTTTTAGTGTGTACATGCGTCCGTGCATGCGTATATGTATGTATTGAGGTGAGAGGTTTTGTTGTTGTTGTTGTTTTTGTTTGCTTGTTTTTCTCCTATCATGTGTTCCAGGGATTAAAACTCAGGTCATAATCCTTGGCAGCAAACACCTGTACCCACTGAGCCATCTTGTCAGCCCAGGAAGTTCGTATAATGCATCCCCTATGCCCATTTTTTATTACCGTCTTCTATTATGTATATTCACGACTGAATTTAACTACTTTTAGTTTTGAGAGTCCTGCTCATTTTCATACTTTATGCCTTCCTACGTACCACACCTCATTCTATTAGGATGCCATCTGGCATTAGCATAGTGACTCTCCTTAGGTTTAATCCTCACTTGGGTGATGCAGTTTCTTCAGAGGTTCTTTCACTGTCTGCATACTTGGAACATCTCACACCCACCTGCCTGGTAGAGCTGGTTGAGCCATAAAGGAGCTGATTGGGTTTAGTTCAAACCACACATCAACAGGTACACCAAAGGACTGTTTCTGGGTTGTTTGCTGTGTTCAACAATCACATATATTTTTGTGTTTAAGAAAGTTTCAGGTTGGTTTGTTTGTTTTATTTTGTTTTAATCTACAAAGCAAGAGAGTGAGGAAATTAAAAGCAGGCTTTTTTTTTTTAATCTATTGGCTAACTCACTGAGTTGTGTTTCTCATGTATTATGAATTAGTCACATTTGTGCCCCACCCTGTCCAGCCAGAAAGCTAACAGAAAATGATTCTCATGTCTTGAAAGAACAATAAGTTAGTGATTGACCATTACCTAGAGGTACTTTTCTGTCGTTCTGCAGCAGATGCTTTGAACATCATTTGAGTTCAACTCTAATATGTGAAATCAACCTTAAGATAAAAATCAGAACGGATGGTGCCTAACAACAGAAAATGCTAAATAAAAAAGTGTAGCAAGGTGCCAAATTACGACACATGTGCTGTTCCAGAATCAAATGCAGAGGCTGCTTTTTATAGATCTGGAGGGCTTCTATAATAAGATAAACAAGAAGTGCAGGGGTGGGGTCTGTATAAATAATATCCTGCTGATAGGAGAAATGACAGTGTAAACAGGATATAATAACAGTGCCTGCTGAATTTCCAGCATGTTATTTGTAGATTCCGTCACAGTTGCAGCTGCTCCCACCATGGGTAGATTTTTACCTCTGCGAGAGGTCGGCCAAGATTCTAGCTTTTCACTAACAATGATAGGGTGGTGAGCATAGTCTTGGCTTTAGTAAGAAACACATGTATTTTATATTTACCATCGGCAAAATGTTTTCTTAGCCGTCTCAAGCATTCGTAAAACAAACCAAATATACATATGTATGTATATATAAAATCATCTCTGGAAAAACTTGGGGACACGCAGAATAAATGAGTAAATAAATAGGCAAAGGTTGATGAATGCTTATCATCCAAAGAAATATACTAGTTGGTGTTGTATCTTTTGAAAAAAATGAAGAAAAATGCTAGCATCTGAATTTAAAGAACTTCATTACAGTTGTATTGAATTATTAGGGTACAGTGGGAAACCAGCAGATACTGAGATTCCATTCTTTCTGACATTCAATCATTCCGTGACTCACAGCCTCATTTTCCTTATAAGATGTGGGACTTTGACCAAATGATGGTTCTCTTAGTCCTTGTAACAAACTGTCATAAACTGAGTTAAGTAGTGTAGAATACAAACATAGGCATGGGATCCTCACAGTTCTAAGGCAGGGTCCATGGCTGGGGACCACCTGCTTTTCTGGCTCATACACTCCTTATTCTTTCTTGTCTTCACATGGTGGAAAGGGTGAAGGGTCTTCCAGGCCCCTTAGGGTGCTAATCCAATTCATGAAGGTCTGCCCCTGTGACCTGGGCAACCCCCCTCCCAAAGGTCCCCAGATGTGAACATCACCATTTTAAAGACAAAGATCTCAACAAAAGGCTTGGGCATAGACACTCACACTATAGCAACTCTATTTTTTTCTAGTTGTCCAGATCTGTCTGCTTTTGACACTTGTATCTACTTGCATCTAATCTTTATACTTCCAGCTGTATTCAAATCATTTCCCTTGTTACTTTTCTCTAAAATGGAGAATGAAAATGTTATATACACATCAATTGCTTTGCAAAAAAAAAAAAAAGAACAAAAAAAAAAACCCAAACAAACAAAAAACCCAAAAAACAGTATTGCTGTCTTTCTTAATCAGAGAACTTTAGACCAGGTGGTATAAACCAACTAAGATATCAGTTTAAAAACTAAACTTTACTCTTTAGAGCAGTGTTTGGGTCACAACAACATTGAACAGAAAGTTGAGAAACTTCCAAAATACCTCCTGGTCCACCATGCATACCCAGTCTCCTATATTGTCACCGTCCACAGTGGCACATTCGTTGTAGTCAAAGCCCCTATGTTGTCATTGAGAACTAGCATCCCTAGTTGACAACAGGCTCCCTTTTGGTAGTGCACATGCTGTAGGGTCAAACAACATAACATCCACAATTACAGTGTGATCTCACAGCCCTCAAAAGTTTTCTGTGTTCTGCTTGTTGGTTCTTTGCTCTTCCCAATTCCTGCGACCATGGCTCTTTGCCAAAATGTCTTAGCATGATTGGAGTCAAATCATGCTAGCTTCAGGCTGGATTCTTTTAGTTACTAACTGCACTTAAGGTTCCTCTGTGCTGCTCGCTGCCTAGCTCAAGCACTCTTTTCCTTTTACTGCTGAGGAATAGCTCCTTGTCTGAATACTACACTTCCTCAGTTCCCTACCAGTGGATGTGTTACCTTCAAACTTATGAGGAAAATTGTTATTAAAAATAGATTTTTTGTTTTGTTTTGTTTTTCAAGACAGGGTTTCTCTTTATAGCCCGGGCTGTACTGGAACTCACTCTGTAGACCAGGCTGGCCTTGAACTCAGAAATCCACCTGCCTCTGCCTCCCAAGTGCTGGGATTAAATCCATGTGCCACCACCGCCCAGCAATCTGCTCTTAACATTAGGAAATAGTAAAATGAAGTGGCAAGGTGGGCCAATGATGGCGCAGGGCAGAGGCTATAGCTCCCCAAGCCTGATGATTTGGGGCTCACTTGGCAGAAGGGGAGAGCTGGCTCCTCAAAGTTGTCCTCTGACTTCCACATGCATGCTGTGGTATGTACCTCACATACACATGAAGTAAATAAACATGGAATTTTTCTTTAAAGCTAGGCCTGGTGACATACCTATAATCCCAGCACTAAGAAGGTAGAGGCCATTGTATCAAGAATTCAGAATTATCCTTGGTTGAACTCAAGATCAGCCTGAACTGTGTGATGT